CAACTTATTTCAGTTGATTTTTTTTCGGGGTTAGGTTTTTATAATTTTAGGTAAATAAAAGTTACATTTTGAAACCAAAAATGGAAAATTTTAAATTTTTCATCTAATTAGACTATATTAAGTGGATTTTTCACTTGATTCAGTTCTATCTGTCTGTCGGATATTTTCTCCTTTAAAGTTACTGCCACATCCATATTTGTGTTTGACTTATTATACATTTCTACTTAACATTGTTATTTAAAGTAAAGTTATTAATTACATTGGCGCATTTTTATATGAAAATGCTTTTATGGCATTCTAATGATTTCATTTAGAGGCGCACTTCCAAGTACACCCAGCAGATGGCGCTACTTTACTATTGGTTAATGAACAACACGTTTGGAAGAAGAAGGTTTAACGGATATTAACGAGCGCAGCCGGATGTTTGCGAAGGGATCAGTGTAAATTTAGCATAATGCTAGCTGTAGAAACAACGGTTTTCATACCCTTAATATAATAGTTTCGTCTTCTTTTTTTTGCAGTTTAGCGAAACACCGTGAGATAACACACTATGGTATGTATGAAAAACGGTAGCTTATTCATGAGAAAACGAGTTGTCTGGGGACAGAAGTTAGCCAGTTTAGCTGGGCCCAGAGCCGTGTACTTTACACGACAGCTGGGTCATTTTATGCTAAGATTTGCTAATACTGTCATGTAGCTGATAAAGAATAGTTGAAATTGTACGTAGAATGCCTTCCACTTGAAATTAATATATCAGTATCAGCTATTTGTGTGAACTTAGCTGATGCTAACTAGCGCGCGGTGTCAGGACTTTTTGTTGTGTAAACAAAACATATTATTTCAAGGTTTTCTTCTTGCATTCAATCACCAGCAGCTGAAAAATGTTTTTCTTTTTTTCTTGAATTGAGAACTAATCGCGATTAGAGCACACTTTAAAATGACATAGTTAGTTAGAGTTACTGTTTGCATTTTATACACATCAATGATGGAACCAAAAAAAAAAAAAGTGCATGTTCTGTAAAATATTACGTTAAGTATATCAGGAAGTATTTAATCTATATTTATTCTTAGATTTTGGAATCGTTTAAATCCAGATCAAGTGTACAAAATGCACATATTTACATCATTCAATGGAACCATAAGTGGAAAAGCTATTTGGGGGATAAATAAAAGTCAGTGTTTTAAGAGCATAATATTATCTAAATAATTCTGTTGTTAATTTACTGCTGTATTGGAACCCCTGTGGGACAAATGGCCTGAAATTACTACTAATCCACCACCATGCTTTCCCATGCGATATGATTGTGGAAATATGGTGTTTTTGGTTTTTGTTATTATTTCTTTTTATTTCAAACATGCTATAGTTGTTTCCAAACCGCTCTACTTTGGTCTCTTCATTCATTCATCTTTCCACAGGAAAATAAGATTCTCTTTTTTCTATTTGTTCTGTCATAAACCTGAATTTGTTTGTGTGTGTGTGTGTGTGTAGGGGGGGGAGATCTATAAGCAGTCATTAATATTAGAAGAAAATAAAAACCTTTAATTGTTCTATTTCTTTAGATGCACAGGTACACCTGTAAATTGCATTGTAGCGATCCCAATAAGCAATGGGCTATAAGGTTGAACAGTTTCCCACCGTTTTGCTCTAATTCAGTCTCTCCTTGTGTATTTCAGGACAGTGAAATGTCAGATGTTGACCATGCACTTGGGCCTGGGAGCAACAGTATGGAGGGCGAAAATGCTCCACTTTACTGTATTTGTCGAAAGCCAGACATTAACTGCTTCATGATGTAAGTTGCTGTTTTGGCCAGTTACTTCAAGGTAAAATCATGCAGGGGCATTTATAAATGCGGGCTCTGCTCTTGTTTTTTTATTTTTCAGCGGCTGCGACAATTGTAATGAGTGGTTCCACGGGCACTGCATTAATATCACAGAGAAGATGGCGAAGGCCATCCAGGAGTGGTACTGCATGAGCTGCAGAGGTTGGCATCCCCCCTCCCTTCTCATTTGTTTCCTCCTTGCATGAGTTCTTTAACAAGATGGGTTTCATGTTGATATTTTCTGGGGGGGACGAGCAGAGGAAAACCCACTGTTGGAGGTGAAATACAGATCGAAGAAAAACCGAGAGAAGGAACCAGATTCAGACAGAACCGAAAGACAGTACAGCACCCCGAGCACCCCCGACTATAGAAGCGATAGACGACGTGGATCTAAAGTACGTTGAATCATTGCAAACAATGGTTTTATTTGAGCACAAAAGCCTGTGCCATAGAAGTTGTTCCTCAGATTTTTCTGATTCCTTTTTGAACCTTTTGTCTCCAGGTGAAACGGTCAGTGCGGATGTGTGGGGAATGTGAGCCCTGCAGAAGGACTGAAGACTGCGCCCAGTGTGACTTCTGCAAGGACATGAAGAAGTTTGGAGGACCCAACAAAATTAGACAGAAGTGCCGCTTCAGGCAGTGTGAGGTCCGAGCCAGGGTGAGTTGATTTCCTTCTGCTGTGTCAATTTTAGTTGTCCCTGTCCATCTTTCAATGGAAAATGGTTGAGCTAATACAATTATTTTTTTCCTTTAGAAAATGCTTCGTGTGAAAGAAGAAGAATTCTCCCTGCGTGAGCGGAGGGAGAATTCCCACCACAGACGAAGGCGGTACTCTGAGGACTACGACAGCGAGGCAGATCTTTACCAGCAGTACAGGGCAGCGGGACTTGATGCCGACTTGGTACCACATCATGATGCTGCTTTTGTCTGCTTGTTTTGGATGGTTGGCATGTTCAGAAAGTCATTAGATTCCCTGCTTCTCATTCACACAGGCTTGGGGTAGCGATGACGACGAGCCGGCTTTCAGTCCCGTCATGCGTAAGAAAGCCATAAAGGTGAAGCACGTTAAGAGGCGGGAAAAGAAGATTGAGAAAAAAGTGAGTTTCCACGTGAATCCAATATGTCCTTAGACACACCTTGGAAGCTGAGAAGATGTCTGGTTAGAAACAGTATGATTTAGCAAATCTTTCTCTCAAACAATTTAGAAAGAGTCTCGCCGCCACAAACAGAAGCAGAAGCACAAAGACAGAAGCAGACACAGTGAGCGGGGGGACTTACGGGACAGTGGGGGGATGCGTCAGTGTCTTGGGCCGAACTGTGTGGAAGCGGCGAGGCCCAACTCTAAATACTGCTCTGAAAACTGCGGGATGAAGCTAGCCGCCAAGTAAGCTATTTTCTGATTAGACACACTTTAATTCCCCTGATTTAAACAGATTAATGGTCAACTTCCTTTTTGATTTTACAACCTGCAGTCGGATCTACGAGATCCTCCCACAACGGATCCAGCAGTGGCAGCAGAGTCCCTGTATCGCTGAAGAGCACGGCAAGAAGCAGCTCGAGCGCATCCGCCGGGACCAACAGAACGCCCGACTCCGCCTCACTGACATGGAGCGCCGCTTCCACGAGCTGGAAGGCATCATCGCCAAGGCCAAGCAGCAGGCAGTTCAGCAGGATGAGGAGGTGCATGCCGCAGCTCAGAAACCCGATTCTCACACGTTTGCCAAAGATTTTAAAGATTGGTCAAAAATAAAAGAGGTTCTGCTGTTTTATAATCAAAGGTGAACGAAGGGGAAAGTGATGACACGGATTTCCAGATTTTCTGTGTTTCCTGCGGTCATCCCATCAATCCAAAAGTGGCTCTGAGACATATGGAGAGATGCTACGCTAAGGTGATCATTTATTCTGTTATCTTGCTATTTTAAAGCTAAGATGTGAGCTGTTTTCTAAAAGTGTAGCTGCTCTATGTGCTTCTAAAAACCCATTTCTGAAATGATTTTTCTCAACAGTACGAAAGCCAGACATCTTTTGGATCTATGTATCCCACAAGAATAGAGGGGTAAGGGTAAAAGTTGTAGAGAAGAACTTAGTTCTTTGGACTTGAGCTTTTAATTGTATTCATTTCTCTGCAGTGCCACTCGACTCTTTTGTGACGTGTACAACCCTCAGAGCAAGACGTACTGCAAGAGGCTGCAGGTTCTGTGTCCAGAACATTCCAGAGATCCCAAGGTGGGAGCTATGGGCACTCCTATGGAGCCCACCCCCAGTTTTGATTTAAAGTCAACTGATCTTTGTTTGGAGATTCAAATCGGTTTCTTGTTTGGCCTACAGGTTCCTGTAGATGAGGTGTGTGGATGCCCGCTGGTAAAGAATGTTTTTGATCCGACCGGGGATTACTGCAGGGTATCAAAAAGGAAGTGCAACAAACATTACAACTGGGAAAAGCTGAGGAGAGCTGAGGTGGACTTGGAGCGAGTCAGAGTGGTAGGAAGATCTTAAGCACTCTGTTGCCTTGGAACCTGCTGTACCAGGTCTTGATGAAATCATTTTTGCTTTTCTTTGCAGTGGTACAAGCTGGATGAGCTGTTCGAGCAGGAGCGTAACGTCAGGACTGCTATGACCAACAGAGCTGGTCTGCTGGCTCTAATGTTGCACCAAACTATCCAGCATGACCCTGTGACAACTGATCTCCGTAGCAACAAGGATAGATAGTCAGCCTGATTTGTTGCTGGATTTCGAACAGTAGATCAATGTACATATAATAATTGTGGGCTAAAGATTTTAAAGTTCTAGATTACCTACTGCTTTAAAAGATAATTTTCTACCATTATAAAGCGTGTATGATAATATATTTTCCCTAAAAGTGGTAGAAAAGCTACATTTCACAACTGCAGTTTTTTGTATGTGCATTCTAAATAAACTGCTTTTATGGACCACGAGGTGTGGGGGTTTGTTTCAGGACTGATTAATTTATACTGACACAACTATCCATGCCTTGAGATTACTTAAATTTTTATTTTCAGATGTCATTTTCTACACTGCTATAAAAGCAAAATAGAAATAAAGGTAACACTAACAAACCTAGATCTAAATTAATTAAATATTGTCATTGAATACTTGCATAAAAATGAATGTATTGACAACAAATTCACACAAGAATCATCAAGAGAAATCAAATGTTTTAACCAATGGAGACCTGGATTTGGAGTCGCAAACAAAATTTGGAAAAACACTTCAGGATGATCAACTTTGATGTCCTTAAAATAGCTCAAAATGAGGCTCAATATCGTGTGGCCTCCATGTGCCTGTATGACTTCCCTAAAACGCCTTGGCATGCCCCTAATGAGCAGGCAGATGGTCTCCTGAGGGATCTCCAGACACGGACTGAAGCATATACCTACTCCTGGACAGTCTGTAGCACATAACATTGGTGGATGGATGGAGGCATTATGTTCCAGATGTGCTCAATCAGATTCAGGTGTGGGGAATGGGCGGGCAAGTACAAAGCTTCAAGGCCTTCATCTCGGAGGAACTGCAGACATACTCCAGCTACATGGGGTATAGCATTGCCCTGTATCAGGAGGAACCCAAGGCCAACCACACAGTTTATGCATGCACATTTGTCACCTTCTGGAGGTCATTTTGCAGGGCTCTGGCATTGTTCCTCCTTGCACAAAGGTGGAGGTAGAGGTCCTGCAGCTGAGTTGTTGCCCTCCTACAGTCTCCTCCATGTCTCCTGGTGTACTAGCCTGTCTAACGATAGCCCCTCCAGCCTCTTGACACAGCAAACCTTCTTGCAACAGCTCACATTGATATGCCATCATGGATGAGCTGCACTACCTGGGCCGTTTGTGTGGGTTATAGAGTCCGTCTCATGCTACCAGGAGTGTGAAAGCATCGCCGTCATTTAAAGGAACCAAAACATCAGCCAGAAAGCATAAGTACTGAGAAGTGGTTACTGGTCCCCACCTGCAGAGACACTTCTTTAGTAAGTGTTAATCACCAAATTTTTCATATTATAGGCCAAAACTGGGGTTGAAAAAATTAAGTATGATTATCTGAAAACCAGTTTGAATTCACAGTGGCTCTCAAAAGTATTTAAAACCCTTATGGTGCATTCATACTGTCAAAATAATTACAACTAAAGTGAGAAAAAGTCTTGTTTCACACTTGTTAAGATGAATTATACTGAAATAAAATCTCTGTTGAATAATGACTTTTTATGTTTCAGGAAGCATATGACTAAAAATTGACTGTTTTTATATTGAAAGAAATGTAAAGATTTTTATTATGGTTATGCCCTGAATAGAAAAATAGGATGTAAGAAAAGAGAAACAAAAGAGGAACACATTTTGTAATAAAAAAGAAACAGTTGGGGTCTGGTCTGGCAGAAGCTTGTAACAGGAAGCATCTTATTGGCTAGAAAGAAAGTTCTCTCACACTGATGAAGTTCCCACACGCTGGATTGGTGGAAAGAGGAAGCTAGATAGACAGCAGTGGGATGCGGATGGGATAAAAATTTCAGCATTCTGCTTCAAAGCCCTTTTTTCTCCTTCACGCGGGGCAAAGATGGGACAGGGTTGGAACAAGCAACAAGAAAGAAGAATTTTCTGTCCCTTGAGATTTAGAGGATAATAAGCCGGGACTCCAGTTCTTGGTGCTTTTAAGTTTAAAAAGCCAACGTTTGGTGGATCAAGACAGCTAAGTACTTTAGTGTAGTTTAACATGATCAGTGGATCTGAAGATAAAGACCAGGGAAAGTTGAGCTCCTGAAGAAATAAAGATAGGATTCCAAGAATCCTATTTCAGGGGCTGAGATAATGTGTTTCTTATGGTGAGTGTAGAATGTAGTGTAGGGTTAATCAGTCAGCATATTTAGTTTAGTATGGTAATAACTGTGATATTTTATTTTAATCTTGCAGAAATGCTGTATCAGTGCCCTTACAGAGCCTACTAATAAAGCATGTTCAAATGTATAAAGGAGAGTGGACAATGGATTTTGAGTCACATTTGTACATTTTAAGTTCTTTAATGGTTTAAAATACATGTATGGGTGCGGTTCTTAAGTATATCTGGAGGTCTAAGCAGGTATCCTTTTCAAACAACATCCTTGGGAAAGCCTGCAAACCCCGGTTTGTCCTGAGTTAGTCTTTGTGCTGCTCTATGTTTGAGAGTGCTGGATCACATAGGCATCACTTCACCTCCTTTTGCTTCATTCTGTTTCTATTCTCTTGCTCTGCAATATTTGTCCAGTTCCACTCATAACTTTAAGTTCTCTCAGCTTTTTCTCATCATAGTAGCTTCATGTGGTCTGTTCCTGTTCTGCTGTGACTCCATCTTGTTGTGCTGCTGCCATCGACATCTCTGTTTATAGATATCAGAGCATGGCCTGCTTCCCGGCTAGTTCTGTTTCTTACTGTAACTAGCAGAATTGGCTTGGAGCTCATCTTGCCTGGCTGTGTCTTTCCAGACTTTTCCACACATCTTTTTACAACCACAAAGTTGAGGGTAATTTAGGGAGATGAATTCTTCTAATTACACATATAGGTGAGGCGAAAGGAACTTGATGCAAAGTTTTCCATTTTACAAATAAAAATGTAATATATATATATTTATTTTGGTCTGTCCTTTGAAAACTATTCTAACAGCATGTTGTCACCTCTACCATGTTAGAGGCAGGAAAAGAGATGATCAATATACATTGAATTTTTGCATTGGCCAAAAGGTTCCATTTTTGAACCTTCTGCTGTGTCGCCTCCATAAGTGATTCCAGTGCCTTGCAGGTTTTCTTTGTATCACTGTTGTCATGTTTCTGCAGAATTTGGTAGCACGCTGAGAATGAAATCTAGATAAGCTATGCTTTAGAAAAGGTCTGTCAAAAATAGGCCAGGTTTTAGAACGTTTGACCCATGTTATTGATGTTAAAACGTTTAAAGAGTTTAATTGAATAATTTCTTTGGGTTCTAGATTTTTGGTTTATAACATTAATCAAAGAACCCATGAGGTTATATGATTATTGAATTTCAGAATCAAAATAAAGTTTATTGCCAAGTAGGTTTGCACTTACAAGGTTTTTGACTTGAACATTGCTCCACGAAATGTGTAAAATTAGAAACTGTTGAAAGTAGCCTCAAACTTCTCCTTAGCTTCATAACTGACATGGCTGTGTATCGTCTAATTGATGGTGCTCCTATGAGAAACAATAATGAACTGATAAATATGCTAATAAAGGTACATCTGAAAGGCTTTCAAACTTTTAAAACAGTCCAGTGCTATTTTCTTATGTAACTTCAGAAGAAATGATCACCTCATTATATTTTGGTGATTGCAAATTTACATTTTGTGATTGAATTTTCAAAGTTCCTTGAAGTTTCTGCTACAACTGGATGTGATTATAAAAACTGGTTTCTCAGTTTACTTCTCTATTATTCGCTTTTTGTTTTTTTAAAAGGAAGAGACATAATCGGACGTCCGCATTTTGAACCTATGGCAAATCTGTATTATCATAGTAGGCTGTTGCTCCTGTGCAGAAGCATAACTTTCTGAAGGACTGGTGTGGACATGTCCCCACCAGTAATTTCAATACATTGTCTTTAGCAATATGTGGGGAAAATGTCTAAATCAGATTTTTCTGCTTTTGAAGGAGGATAATCACTAATGTATCTGAAAGGAAAAAATATCCATCAATCAATCCCCAATTTTCTGGATGGACTGATGGATGGATGGATGAATAAAGCTGAAATTGTGTGCATAGTAGGGAGGCATGATATATTGCTGTTGGCATCGGAATCGGCTGTTATTCATCCCTTTTTTATATACATTAATGTCTATCTATAAATATAAATATCAGTGTATTTTGATTATTCTGTGATCTCAGCAATAGGAAAGCATCCAACAAATATATGTTTCTGCTCATTTTTGGAAAATACAAACCCTATTGAAAGCGTTTGAGTAGAATAACTGTAGGTCCATCAGCCATAACCCTCAGGGTGTCCCCACCAACTTTCACCGCAAAGTTACACCCTTGCTCCTGTGCTCACCGTTTTAATCATATAGGTTACATTACACATTAGGCAGGTTTAACCTAAACCTTTATTTCAATATTCGACGTAGCTTTTTATTGCTGTTTTTCTAATACTATAAAAAAGAAGAAAAAAAACAAGCATACAAAGCCTGCAGGCAGCAGCAGCAGATAATGTGTTCAGGCAAGGTGACTCACTCCATCTAACTTTTATCTGCTGCTCTGACATGACCACGGATAAGATAATAATGTTATTCTTAACTTAACTTAAACATTTAACCACTGATATTTTGAAGTTCATGTTGGTGCAAGTATCTACTTAAATATGCATTTCATGTCAATATCTGCAGGGGCGGAGCTAGATGGGGGGCCAATCAGTGGCCACCAGTGTAGCTACACCTACCTCCCGCCCATGGTGGCAGCACTAATACTCTCAAGTGGAATGTTCAAACTTATTAAACATTTGATTTTTTCATATATTAACAACTATTATAAATAACTAAAACGCTGTGTTTATGCACTTCAGAATCTTAACATTAAAGGAATAGTACACCCAAAACATGATTAGCCTTCATTTTCTACTCACCCCCATGCTGAACAACACTCTGGAGTACTTTTTTGATATCTCAAATGCATCTGGAGATCTGGGAGGCTTCTTGCTGTCTGCTGACATTCAAATAATGGAGGTCCCCAGCGCCCGAGGCAGAAAGGTCCATAAAAGTCCACAAAAAAACGAGTCAATATTCCTCCATACTGCTCGTCCAACGTATTCCAAGTGTCCTGAGTGGGTAGCGTCCATAATTTACTCGAAACGAAGTCATTTAGAATGTTTTTAGAGCATAAACAGTAGTGTATAGGATTTCCTAAAAGCGCGTTCACGAGTCTACGGAAACCGCGGCAGACCAAACCAGATGAAAGTGCGCATTCAGCGTCTGCTCTGCCGATAATGCAAGCGTAGAAGAAGAAATGTGCTGTTTACCTGTGCAAAGAAAGAAACAATGAAAGAAAAATGTCTGAGGACTTCAGTGTTGAGGAAGAGCATGAGTTCTTTGCCGAGCTGAATGCGCACTTTCGTCTGGTTTGGTCTGCCGCGGTTTTCGTAGACTCGTGAACGCGCTTTCAGGAAATCCTATACACTACTGTTTATGCTCTAAAAACATTCTAAATGACTTTGTTTCGAGTAAATTATGGACGCTACCCACTCAGGACACTTGGAATACATTGGACGAGCAGTATGGAGGAATATTGAAACATTTTTTTGTGGACTTTTATGGACCTTTCTGCCTCGGGCACCATAGACCTCCATTATTTGAATGTCAGCAGACAGCAAGAAGCCTCCCAGATCTCCAGATGCATTTGAGATATCAAAAAGTACTCCAGAGTGTTGTTCAGCATGGGGGTGAGTAGAAAATGAAGGCTAATCATGTTTTGGGTGTACTATTCCTTTAAAGTTGACATATACAGAATTCATGTTCTTTTCAGAACTTTATTTTTGTGCTTTATGAGGTAAAGAGAAAATTGTGTCTCTGCAAGTCATCTAGGAGTCTTCAGTGAAATCATAGATAAATAATTACTTAATAATAACTTAAAAAATCTATTTAATGTAGATATTAGAACATATAAATATATTTTTTATGCAGAACAATTTTTGGCAAAAGTAGGTAAGTAATGACAATGGAGAAGAAGTTTGACCCAGAAATTTTGTCCCCTACAGCGCTAATTAGTCAGATGTTCATATATATCCCTCTATTTGTTAGGAAAGGCTGTAGGAAAGTATAGTTTGTCTTTATTTACAAAATATGGATGTTGTGGTTGTTCCTTTTGGAACAGTAGCCACCCCTCAGTGTACATTGGTTATTGCCTGGCCACCCTTATTAAACATTTTTGGCTACGCCTCTGAATTTCTGTCTACACAGTACACACAAGGAAAATAGTGCCTGGCGCATTTAGTTTTTTGGTCCTTGAGCGCTTCCGTCGGCGGGGCTGGCTGCATGGTACAGGGCTAATTTAGCCCTGGCTCGTACACTAAAAGGAACCCAGTTGTTGTAACAGAGTGCCATATATTCAGGAAATTATTCACCGGAAAGGTTTGTTTATATTACTAATTCACGTTGGAATATAACTTTTTAAAGATGTGACGACTAAACCAGGGGTTAACATAAAGGCAATCCACGGATAACATCACAGTAATGTACAGTCAAACGCTAAAGCTAACGGTGGCTAATGGCATCCCCGCTATGAGTAAACGTTTCTATCCGCCCGAAACACCTTTAGTTTCGTGTGACTCTTCGCTGTGTTTCGGTTTTCGTTGTAAATTAGCACCTGAGAGTCAGAATTGCTGAGATTCGCAGCACTTTGTATAGGAAGAGCGAATGCTTGTTTGTGCGGCTAACGTGGTGCTAACAATGGCTACATACCTTTGCTAGCTAAATGACAATTGATAGTAGCTATACGTTTTAAAGAGTGGGACTATAGCTAAAGCTTATGTTGATTTCCTGCTACGCTATATACATGCACTGGTGTCGAATATGGTATACGTTGCCTTTATTTGGACCCTACACCCACTTTTTTCTTATTTATGTTCCATTAAAACGGTTAAAGGGAGCACTTTGAATGGGATTCATGCCTGACTGTTGAGATGTGTTGTCTTTCTGCAGGGAGACCCATTTGATCCTCAGTGGCCCTTCATTTGTGCATCAATGAGTGAAGAAGCAGTGCCCAGCAGGCTCCCTGTCAGTGAGCCGGTGGAGAGGGATCAGGGAGAAAACACCGAAGAGAATCTCAAAACTGACAATACCTCTGAAGAACTGCCAGCCCCCTCAGATGGCCCTAAAGATGCAACCGGGGAATGCTTAGACGCAGCTGGTAGCACCCCAGCAGAGACTAAAGATGAGGTTAAGGCTGCTGGGGAGCCTCCAATGGACTGGTTTGAGCCACTTGAGGATGATGATGATGACGACGATAATGTCAACAGCCCAGGCAGAAATTATCCAGATGAAGAAAGCCTGATAGGAGAGACTGAGAGTGTTGCAGGCAGCGAGAGAACCTCAAGAAGAGTAAATGTGTATGTTTCACTTATTTTATTAGTACTTTTTTATCGTTTCACACAAAGTTTGTTTACTTAAACAGTAGGGCTGGGTAAAAAATCGATTTAATCGATTTTGAATCGATTCCTTTACGTTTTTGCAAAATCGATGTCTAAGGAATGAGATCGATTAGTTTTATAGTGACGTGCGTGGTGTTCACATTCAAATGAGCAGGAAAGATGAACCAAAATACTTCAAGCCAGACAGCTGCAAATATAGCTAATAGGTTGATTGAAGACATTAACCAATGGGGGCTGACCAGCAAACACCCTATAGTTGATACAGACATCGCTGCAAATATGGTTTGTGCAGCGGAGATAATGCAGCTCATGCATGTCTGCTGTGTCCCCGCTGTGTCACGTCTGTTTGCTCAAGTGAGGCTTTTTCACTTTTCACAAACAAGTTTGCACATTTGAGACAGTTTCGTTCACATCTCAAGTTTAAACTGTCCGATTTACAGTTTGCACTTTGTGTTTAATATGACAAGAAAAAAAAATACATGCATGTTTTGAAACACAGTTGAACCACTTTCATTATTGTGAAAACAGATCGAATCGAAATTAATCGATTTAGAACTGTATGAATCAAAATCGAATCGATTCAGGACTTTGGCCAAAATACCCAGCCCTATTAAACACCACAGTTTATTTTTTTCTTGTTCACATACAGTTTTTTTTTTTCTTCTATTTTTAAAATCTCATTTTAGAACACAAGGGTATCGGCGCAAGCGCGCACATCCTGATGAAGGATGGATTGATTGGCCGTCGCTTGGGCAAGGTTGGAAGCGAAAAGAGGTTGTTCGACGCTCAGGTTCCAGCATTGGCCAGGTTGATGTGTATTATTTAAGGTAAATAACAGACTGTTGATCAGCATGCAGCTATTTAGAATAAAATCTTCATTCAACTTTAGGATGTGTGCTTTAAATCAATACTGTGTATCTTTTAGCCACTAGGGGAGTTAGATCTGTGAACTCCAGGTTTATTTCCCCTAAAGCAGGCATGTCCAATGTCTGCCCTCGAGGTCCGCTGTCCTACAGGTTTTAGATGTCTCTCTGCTTCAACACAGCCGATTCTGATGATTGCAGTTCAGCAAAAGCCTGTGAAGGCTGTTATTAAGCCTCTAAAACCTGCAGGACAGTGATCCTCAAGGATCGACTTTGAACAATCCTGCCCCAAAGCAACTGACTACACTGCACTGTTGCTAAATGAAACCATGCTAATTGTTTTGGAGTCTAATAGCAAACTACTTAAAACAAGCAGATTAGGAAGTCATGGAGTTAATTGTGAAACTCAAGGCCACATTCATCCATCTAGATTTAATCTTGCACCAGAGAAATACTAATATATCTGATAATGTCTGTTTTTTTGTTTTTGTTTTTTGGCTAACAGCAACTTTTAGCTTAATAGCTCTTGTGTTTAATAGCAATTCACCAATGCAGCAGTTTACGAGCTGCTACTGAGCATATCAGCCACTATTAAACAAACAATTTAAATTACCATGTGATTGATTGTCTTAAATTATCAGAGAAAAAAAAAATGAATACTGATATCAATCATCACTAGCTGATGTATGGGCTCTGTAATGTAATGATTTAACAGGCATTGCAAACATAGAAGTAAAATGACTAGATTGCTGTGTATAATATAAATACAAAAAGAAAGGGCTTGATCCGCATCATTCATCTGATATCTGATCCAGCTAATTAGTCCCTGTCGGAGCCGATATCCAATAAGGGTATAGGAACGCTGTATCTCTATTATTTAAGGGGAGATCAGTCTGCCGTAAAGTGGCGCTGTGGTTAACATGATGGATTTAGATCCGCAGATCCGTCCCTCTTAAGTGACAATGATGAGTTTTGCAGATAGACATGAACAGAAAAGGCTTTTTTGTTGCACCTTAAGAGGCTGATTCCACAACTTTCTTTTGTGTTCTTTAGAGAGGTTAAGAACGTGTGTATGATTTATACTAATTTATTTCCCTGTCGGTCTGAAATCTATCACAATTCCTGTTATCCCTCCTTTATCTTTTGTGTTTCTTTTTATTATCCTAATGTTTTTTTAATTAGTCAGAATAAAAAGTAACAATCCCATAGCAGTCATGCATGTATAGCATACCATTGGGTAAATTAGATAGATAGTGGATAGTATAAAAAGAATCTTGTCATCAGATTCCTTAAATTAATTAATATGCAGTATTGTTTTTCTATTTGTGATTGTAATCGTTCTCCTTCACAGTCCACGGGGCGATCGAGTGAGAAGCAGAGTAGAATTAACTACAGTCCTCCATGGAACAGACTTGACAAACTTTGAATATAAGACTGGCAAGTTCTACGATGGGGAAGTCCCACCACCGAGAAGTCGAGGCAGGATAAAGGTATTACATACTACTCTTTTAGTCACTTCAAACGTGAAAACTAAAAAGCTTGCTTTAATGCCGTCGATCTGCCATCTTTTAGAAAAAGTTTCGGGAACGGTCCTCCTCAGAGTCCAGTTGGATGGAGAGAGGAGATGGGGCTGAGACTCCTGACTCCCATCACAGGCTCACACCAAGTTTCATTCACAAAAACATCACGAGCAACCAGAAGAGTGTCTACCTGAACAGCTTCACAGCAGATTTTAAACAAAGCCCCAGCTCTGAGGAAAAACTACCGGAGGAGAAAATTAGGCTTCCTTTTCCCTCGTCATCTCGGCCTCTCTCCTTACCTTCAATAAAAGGAGAATTTGGATCAGAGGAGAGCACTCTGTAAGTCTGTAACTTACCTGTGGTATTTCTTTATCGGGAACCGTTTTTTTCTTCCCCCTTTAAGCAGTTAGCTTTAATTAGGAGTGACTTGTGTTTCCTTTAAAAGTTTGACACATCAGGGGACCAGCTGAATCAGATGATATATCATATAATACTGTACTGTCAACGAAACTGACAACCAACCCCATGCATTCAAACCTAATGATCATAGCACTAAATTAGCTTATCTTGCTCAGATTAAACACCTATGATCCTATGCTGCATAACTATCACGAGACCGAACATCTAATGACCAATCCCCTCCCTTCCTGAAACAAAAACGGCTTTAAACAGAACTAGACCTTTTTGTTAATAGCGAGGTTTTACTTGTCTGATTAATACTGATTTGTTTTACATTGAGATGCATTAGTTGATACTGATGTAAAAGCTTAAGAAAAATCTGATTTCTTGGCTGCAATACCGCAGTATTCCCCTTCATCTGTTTACCAAGTCATTCAGAAGAACTAAAGAACTGCCAAGAAAATGCTTTAAGTTAAATGGAAAAGCAGAAAAAGATCACAATTATCAGATGTTTGATACACAAGATCTCAACTGAATACCAATCAGCAATAAATAAAAATTAATTTGAATATTTCATTCAAATCTAATCTACCCCTGAGTTAATGCCACCGCAACAGAAAAGGTGAGAATATATTTCAAAGCATGTCTTTAGTTTTTCCTTATTGATTTGTTTTTTCTCCTCTAAAAATCTTTGTTTCCTGATTAATTAAAAAAAGACACAACTAGTGGAGTAATAAACGAGTGAAACGGACAATAAATAGAACTCATCTGTAACTCATTACCGAATATGTAAGCCAAGTCTCATTCTCAGATAGACTTCTATGTTCTGCCACGGTCCTGTGCTGTCTTTTCGTTGTTATTGTGGTTTTCATCTAGCTACTTTTTGATTATGTAATCCATTATTTCTGTTTTTTTTATGCGCTTGGCCTCTCTGTACTGTTTTTTTTTTTTTTTTTGTGTGTGGAAAAAAATAAATAAAAGTTTGACACAATCAGATATCGTTTTTAAAGCTTTCTGAAATCATAAATAAACAAGCCTTGCCAGCATAATAAAACCTTAATTAATCTCATCTGAGAGAAGTTTTATAACAAACTGTCTGGGATTGGGATGAAGATCTAAAATAAAATAAGGGGCCTTCAAGGTGTGAGACCAGGCCTTCAGCTGCCAGGATAAGACTAAATGTGTACAGTCTATGTTTATAATCTTTGCTAGAGTGGGTATGAACTCAATATCACCTTGTTTCTCCACAGGCTCTGTGCAAAGTGTGGCATCTCCTTTACAGGTACATGGTATGACAAACAAAGAAAGAGGCCCTGCTGTCCCACCTGCTGGGGTACGTCTGTGTTAGTGTGCAGTTAACACTTCATAAATAAAACATTTTAACCAAAAGTATACATCTTCCCTTTTTAATCTTTTTTTTTCTTCTTTTTTTTTTTTTGAATCTCAGCAACATCAAAGTCAATACAGCACCCACTGATCCGCTTCAGGAAGGTAAAAGCATCACACTGATGTGTTTAGCTGCAGAAATAAATACAGGCAGTCAGCATGCTTCAAAATTCAGCGCACATTAGTACTGATTGTTTTCTCTGCAATGTAAATAAATGATTCAAGACTCTCATAAAAAAAAAAATCTAATTTTTCCTGGGATGGTCAGTGGATTCCCTGTGGTCAGTGTGTGGGGTGTCACAACAGCATCGACTGTGGCCAATGTGCTAACTGCAAGCATGGACTGCAAAGTCCCGACGCTAGAAAACGCCTGTGTCGGAAGCGTAGATGCATATGTCCCATACGCAAGGTGAGTGGACTCTTTCCGGGGCTTTCTTTTGTTTACCCTTTTTAGATTATTATTTTTGTTATTACTTTGTTACACTTTGTAAAACTGGGTTTCTTATTGTTTGTTTCCAGAATGTCCCAGGAAGCACTGGGGTCACCTACAAGAGGCCTTTTGGTGACACTGTAGATACATACGAAGACAGCGTACGTTTTTCCAAACAGCAAATCCATCATATTTATCTTTTCTCTCTTAATGTTTTTATTTTAATATTTGCCTTTGTTTTCTGTTATTTTTCTCAAAACAAAATTACAGAACGATGTTACAGAGTCACAGGTAACCCTTCTGTACCTTTTTGTTTATGTAAATAATAAATAGAAAACTAAATTAAGAAATCCATAATGGTGTTTTCTCCACTTAGCATCCAAGTCTTAAAAGCAGCGACACAGAGAACTTCTCCGTCAACGTGGACCTTGATGATGACGACATGTCAACAGACGATGATGAGGATGTGAGTGCACAGTCTTCCTTTGTTCTTATAGTAGCTCTTTAGCTCATAAATCCAGGGAAAGAAAAGAATCCGGTAATAATTGCTATTGTGTTTAATGAAACTGATAGAAGAAAACAGCCAAATTCTCTGCTGTTATCTAGCTGCTGAGGTTAATTAAGAAATTATCAGGGCCTGACTGTTCCATACAGTCTAAATTCCTCTGGAGCTGGAAGGATTAAGGCCAGGTTATTTATGTTTTTATCAAATTTATGTTTTTTTTTTTTTTTTTGGTTTAGTTTTTTTTCTTTTTTACATTTTAATGTTTTAGATGTCTTAAGTTATTGTATTTAAGAACCAGAGTTAATGCAAAAAGTTATTTTCAGACAGGGTATAGCTGAAAGGAGATCAAAGCTGTGGAGGGAAAAATTCATCAAAAAAGCAAAAGAGAAATAAAGTCTTCCATTGGTTTCTAAAAACGTATGAAGCCATTTCTTAAGCTTTGAGATTCCAGAAAGCTACGACGACATTTTATATATTTTATTCAATGTTTTCCGTATAGCATGTGTCTGCTGTGTTTCCTTTAAATCCAATGAATTGGGCTAACACTGATTGCAGACAACTCTTAACGCATATTATGTAAAATGCTGACAGTAGTTTTAAACGTATTGTTTTCCCTAAACTGGAACAGCATCTAAAGCCACAGCTGAGCTTAATGTCCATGTTAAAATATAGACAAAAAAAGACTTGACCTCTCAAAATGAGGATATTATACAGACAATTAAGCATGGTGGCGGTGGAGTCATGCTCTGGGTCTGCTTTACCCCTTTAGGAACTGGAATACTTGCTATAAATGATGGAATAAGATTAGAGCTCTGCTTTGTCTACCATGAAGTAATTAGTAAGAACATACACCCAATTATTTGTGGCCTTAAACCCAAGCATGATTTAAAATCACACTAGCAAGTCCATCTGTCAATGTTTAAAAAAAAAATCAACAAACAAAGATGAGGTATTGGGTGATCTTAACAAAAAAAGAACAATACTTTATCTATTTTGGCAGCAAAACCCTCCAAGGAGGCAGAGTTAAAAACAACTCTGCAAAGAGGAGTTTGTTTAAAGAGCTGCAAACTGTTTCTAACATCTGTTAAAGCAAAAACAAGTCAGGGTTTCTTGTGTTTTCATTCAGGGAGTTCTGGGATTGTTGCAGAAAGGCTTCAAGTTCTTCTGCAACAATCATATCTCTCTGTATTTAGACTATTTTGAAGGTGGCTGTTAGACAAAGTGTAATCAGCTCTTCTATAACCCAACTCTGCTGACTGTCCTTCTGCTGTGTTCTGTTTGTTCCCATTCAAGAGTTTTGGTAGAACTATTATAATGACTATAATGACCTCGATTCACAAACTAGTGGCTGGATTTTGAATGTTTCCACAAAAAAGAAGCAGGCGCCACCTAAAAACCGCACCAATTTCCTTCTCTTTTTATATTTCTGATCCCATTCTTGTTCTCAGTGGCACAAGAAGCGGAAGCGGCGTTCCTGTGGCGAGTGTAAGGCCTGTCTGTGCAGGAAAGACTGCGGTGTGTGTGATTTCTGTATAGACAAACCCAAATTTGGAGGCAGCAACAAGAAAAGACAGAAGTGTCGTCTACGGCAGTGTCAGAGGCAGGCGATGGTAGGACAGTTGCTTAGTGAAGAGATTTTTTTTTTTTCTTTGCTTCTGTCTTGTACGTTGTTGTGGTAAAATAACTGTGCATTTATTTGCCAGAGACATTTGCTGCCCTTCCAGATGGGAGCAGGTGAGTATGGACCAGATGGCCCATGGATGCCTGGCAGGCCCAGACCCCACTACACATACAGCCGGAAGACCGGCCTGAAGAGAAACTCAGATCAGCCGGCGGACATGGACTTCACCGACTATGACGATGATGATGACAGCAACTCGCAGCCGGTGAGTCTCTGAAGACCTTGGTCAGACACCTTGCCGTGTCTCCAAATGGATAATGGTTAGGGGTGGGCATTTCTGGTCTCTTGCTGTTTTAGCCAAACTGGGGATTGGAGCATTCCAGACAGATCCAACAGTCATTGGATGCCGATGTCAGGAATTACCAGTCTATGCAGGTTTGAAAAGTTTGTCTACACACAGAAGTCAAAGCTCTAAAACAAACAGAACATAAATCCTATTTTTTTTGTTTTTTTTGTTCCATCAGTCAAATCATTCCGATTTTGGGGTAAAGAACGGAGTGGCAGATCGATTCCCTCACATCAGCAATCATAACTACTCCCAACCAGTAAGTTTGCCTTTGCACTTCCCATCGCTTCCCTCCTTTATCACAAAAAAAAAAAAAAAGAAAACACATATGCTTATTAACTTCGACTTATTTTAAAGTCTGGGGACGACAGGTAGCTCAGTAGGTAGTAGGTAATCTGTTTAAAATCCTTTTAGAATCTCATGCTGTATTTATTTTTTCCTTTCCCTGTCTTCACCTATATTTTTTTCCAAATGCAACGCTATTGCTCCTTCACATATTAGGCTTGAAGAGAAGAACAGCTGTTTTTGTTTTGTTTTTTTAAACGTGGGCTTTAAAACATCCATGTTTTAACCACATTGCTGTGGACTGTGGTGTTTGTGCTCTCTGCTGGTCATTCCTCTCTTGGCTATCCTTTGCTCTCTATGGTTAGTTTATGCAAGACCTTCAGATAAAAGTGAGCCAAAGTGAAATGCATCTTGCCTCATTTTGGACTTGTGTACAACACATGGCTCATGCAGGGCAGCGACAGACGCCCTGGGTCAGTCTACTCATCTAAAATATGATAGCCAAAGTGAGCCCTCAAGGACCCATGGTTTGTTTTGTTTACATTTTTGGTTGGTGTAAAAAAAAGTTTAAATCTAACCTGTTATCAGGGGACTAGTTAAATGCAATAAAAGTATTTTTTGGCACTTTTAAGTAGCACACTACATTACTTTAACTACAATACATTCAGTTAACAAAGCTGAAATTGAGTGCACCTTTTAGTCAATCTTCCTTATGTTATTTTCTTAGTTTGTACATAAGTTAATTGTTCTTTATACTCAAGAGTTGGACTGAATAGATTTCTTTGCCGTAGGACCATCACAGCCAGTGGGACACAGAGAAATCCTTAAGAGGTGTTTCAAATCACTTGGAAGAAGAGGAGGAGGAGGAGGAGGAGTTACCCATGGTGAGTGCTCCTTTTTTTCCTGTTGAAACAGCCACGGATCATCCAGTGAATTCTTTCTTGTGTTATCCACAGATTACACAGATCTACAGTTTGGCCGAGAATCCAGCTGAAAAGGGTATAGACCTAGAAAACCAGCTGATGAAATTACTCCACTCCTTGCGCTCCTCCGTACTGCCGATCCTCTGGTACGCTATAGTCGCAGAGGGCCCGCAGTTGCAGCTCATCCAGTGTTCGAAGCAGTCCACCATGGCAGACACTATAGTGTTAATCAACCCTGGCTTCTACTATCAGGTCACTGTTCAAAAACAGCCGCTGCTACCCACCCACCCGCTGTATGACACACACCCGTCACGGTTAAGTACTGCAACTGATGTGGTCAGCCTGCTGTTGTCTCTGGAGAGGTATGTCGTGTGTCAAGGACTTCCTCCGAAAGAATCGGTTTTGAACAAAGGGCTGATCATACTAGAGCGGGCAGCAACGTGTGATTTCTTGGTCAAGAAGAATGAGAGAATTTGTTCAAGCTGCAAAGCGCTACAAGGACCTCAAACTCAGCACACAGACTGAAAATCAGTCACCCAATTGAAGCAGGGACTTTTTCTTTTGCAGTTGTGACATTTTCCTCTGTTCTTTCTTTTGTTAAGGCAATGGAGATATTGTATATAGTAAAAAAACTTTTGACAGACTTACCTCTGGACTGTGATATTATGTTTTCAATATATGAAAATCACCAAAGGAATTCCACGAGCTGTAAGAATATACCTTCCCCCCCCCCAACATTTTCATCACACTGGTATAGTTGATCTAAATAACTGTCTAGCTTCCTTTTTTTCCTCCATTGTGCGGTGTCCTTTAATTTTCCATGGTGCATCTGTCTTTTACTTGAAAAATGCCCCCTTTAATATTATTTCGTATTTGAATATTAGATTATCTAAGTTTGTTTAAGAACTTGGAATAAAGTAATGCTATTGGCAGTTGTCATCTCTGGCAACTCGGGGCTCCATGGTGTTGCTTTGCCATTGGAGCAGCAGTTGGATTCTGTTTGGGAGAAGAACTTGTCTGCAATTTGTGATTGTTGTAATATGTGATTGTTATGGGTTTAAATGATTATTTCTTTCTATGGCTCCTGGTCAGTTCGGCCTTTCACCAGTTCCCACCCACCCTTCAAAATTATGCTATGAACTACTTCTATTTTCTACCAATGCTCTAAAGTTGCAATCCTTTTTTTTATTTTTATTTTATGGATAAATTATAATGAGAATATGATTACCTTAGGTAGATATTATTTACAAGAGCTATAAAGTTCAATATAGTTCACAAAAACTTCTTTCAGTCTTGTCACAAAGACTCTTAATTTAGCCATCTTTGGTACGAAATGTTTTATAGGCAGCGACCAAAACCACAAATGAGCTTTTTTTTTCATGTGGCAATTATTATTTCCAATTCTTTTTTTTTTGTTAAACTGTTGACATGATCTGTTGTTTTGAGTCTTCAATACCCAATTGTTTGATGTATGCAGTGAAATGGACAAAATACAAAGTAATTTTAAACATCAGAAGAAGAAAAAAATCACTGTTAAACTTCAGCCAATGAGAATGTGTGATAATAGTAGCAGTATAGCAATGAATGAGCTGCTCCTGAAAGATAACAAGACACTACCTCTCCAAGTTAATATCTCATCAGGTTTCTCTTCCTGACACAAACACAAGTGGGAACTCGAAGCACGACGAAGCTACTTTACTCTACCGTTAACTTTTCAATCGTGTTTCAATTAAAAAGTGAACGGTTCATTTGCAGCAATGCTCGTGAAGCACTCCAGAACCACTAGTAGGTTCTTTTTTTTTTTTTCTTTTTATGAAAAATTCCACAATGAGGTCATTTCCAGATGTTTTTGCACAAAGGATGGCATAAGTTGAGGACATTGGTATAGAATCATTCTGAGGGCCTAAGCTAAATTGAATTCACCAGTCATGGGACTATTAGAAATTTATATATAGAATTTGAAGCCATCTGATATTTATATATTTTTTTGTTTAAATTTGTCATTTTTTCCTGCTCCTTTCCCCTTGCCTTTTTTGTTAAATAACTTTCTAACAATGTGAAATTATGCATTATCAACATGTTTTGTTTCTTTTCTTTTCTTCCCTTATGTGTGTGCATTTAATGCGACCAAATTCTGTTGCAATTTAGTTTTTTCATTAAAGTATATTTAAAAATTTAGATCAAAGGCTTTTGAATGAGCCCCCCTACCAAAAAAAAAAAAAAAAAAGGCTGTCCAGAAAACCAGTTTTTTGTTTTCCTCTTTATGTATTTGACATGATACTGGTGAACTTTTTGGGTTAATTTTGGGTTAATTGTATTTTGATCACACAAAACAGTCCACTGTTGTTAATAAAAGAATGAAACCTTCACTTTGCATTCTTTAAACCCAAACCTATCAGCCACTTCTGCTACATATCCTCCCAGCTTTATGTTCAACATCTCATTTCCAGTATTCTCTCTGGTAGCTTCAGTTTCCTGGACCATTAAACCTGCACCTTTTCCTCTAAGATCTCTTTTTTTTATATTCAATTGTTTTCCCTACCCATTTTTAATTGCTTATTTGAAATCTTTATCTCCTACTGTATTTGAGTACCCCCATATTCTGTACCTCTTTACAGTTAAATTTGCTTCATTTTGTTTAATTCTGTGAGGAACCGGAAGTATTCATCTCCATTAAACACTGTTAAAACATTAAGCTAAAAGAAAATCTGAGATAAATAGGAATTCTGAGTTTAAAGTCATAATTCTGAGATTAGTCATAATTCTGAGAAAAAAAAGTCAGAATTCTGACTTTTTTCGCATATTATACTGAGATAAAATTTAAAAATCAGTTGCATTTAAAAAAAAAATTCTGTGGGCCTAATCCTCTTCTGTGAAAATAGTCTCTGAACGAGAGAAAAAAAAAGCTTTTATTTCCCTCCAATGATCTGTAGCATCTGGGAGGGGCCTGAGTGTTGTGACAGTGGAGCCTCAGCTGGCTCTGCTCCTCCGTCTCTGTAGAAGGGGGAGCTTTCTTCTCGCTGACTGAGATGCGCGCGGCTCCGACGCAGCGGAGGTCGCGAGGCTTCTGGTGAATTACAATTGGCACGCGGAGCCACCATGAACCAAAGGCTTTTTCCCCCGGCGTGAAACCAATTCCCGCACGCTTTGCAAACTGTAGCATTTTTCCAGCATTCTGGTTCCGGTCTGAAATCTGGCGCAGGGATGTTTTTGCCCACCTGAGTTGTGCTAAAAGGAAAAAGACCTTGGAAGGCATCGGTCATGCTCTCTGGTAAGAGGAGCTTCAGCTCCAACATGTCTCTCTCATCCCTACTGGGCGTATCTTCAGCAGCTTTTATATTTTATATAAAATTATAAGAGCGACGTCAGCAGCTGTCACGCTGAATGAAACGCATATTCCGTTTTTGGTTTAAAGACGCACCTGTGATGTGTTATTACTAGAATGAATTAATCCTTATTGAGTCTTAATGCGGGATCTGTAAAGCCGGGCTTTAAGGGGGAACACATGCTGTTTGCTATGTCACGTCTGCGCATATCAATGCAAGGACTCTGTGGAATAAGGCCAAAGATGTTTTTCTTTTTTTAAATCTGGGTGCAGATGAGCGCTCTATTATGAAGGAAACTGGATTAATCAGGTGCTATAAAAGAGGAGCCCTACAAATGTGTGTCAGGCTTTGTGGGAATCCAACCTGTCCCTGATGTTTCTTTCTCAATCAGGATCCTGATCCAGCTGCTCTCACATGTTTCCACCTATGAGGACTGCCTGTTCTCATGCAGACGCTTTAAGCCCTGTTATTAACAGATTCCTGAACAAGGAGGCCTGCATGTGAAAAAGGCTAATCCAGGAGAAGTTGCTGTTGGTCAGCCAGAGGCTTCAGGGTCCCCTACTCACCCCCTGTGCTTTGTTATATCTGGGAAACGCCTCTTTGTTTTCAAGGTTCAAAGAATGTTTTAACCCAGGTGCTGCTGGTCCACTTGGATCTTGTTTGAAGACAAAAAATTGCTTTATCCATACCAGGAGTCTACAGCCATTCATATCCAAAGAGCCGTTTTGCCCCATATACTTTGACAACTTTTGTCATTTTGTTTACACACAGTGTTTACAAAACAACATTTCATGTTGTGCCACTTTCATAACAATACTTAAAGTGCAGCAGTGATCAAATGTAAACATTGTTTCGAGAAAAAGTAAAATGTGTTGGGGGAAAAAAAAGCATCGATGTGGAAATTCAGAGCAATAAAAATATATGCTGCAATTGTGCAGTGTTTTGGTGTTATCAGTGTGATGCAGACAGTCTGTGACACGATTCAGATCAGCTGTCTGATTGCAGTGGAAGAAGCTGTTTCCAAATCTGCTGGACCTGCATCGTATGCTGTAAAGCAGCAGGGAGAACAGTCCATGGTGGGGGTGTGAGGGGTCATTTATTATGTTACGGGCTTGGGACACGCAGCGCTGGCATGAAATGTCTTTTACGGAGGGAAGAGGAGCCCTGATGATCCTCTCTGCTGTTCTCGCAACTCTTCTCACCTTCTTCCAGTCTGAGGCGCTGCAGCCTCCACACCACACAGTGACACAGCTGGTCAGAACGCTCTCTGTGTTGCTTCTGTAGAGCAGGGGTGGGCAATTCCAGTTCCCGAGGGCCGGTATCCTGCAACTTTTAGATTCTTAGTCCAACACTACTGAATCAAATGGCTGAGTTGCTTTCTTAATATGTAGTCAGTTTCCCCAGAGTCCTCTCCATCATCTATTTACTTGATTCAGGTGTGTTGAACCAAAGGCACATCAAAAGTTGCACAATACTTGCCCTCGGGAAGTGGAATTGCCCTCCCCTGCTGTAGAGGGTTGTGAGGATGGGTGGGGGCAGGTGGGCTCTCCTCTTCCTCTGCAAGAAGTACAAATGCTTTATGCCCTTTTGACCAGTGAGGTGGTAAACAGGACTTTTTCCAAGAAACAACCTTTGTTTTTATTATCTCGTATAGAAAATTAGTTGCAATCTTAAACAATCAACATTTTTTTTATTTTTAGCTTTTAAAACAATTTTAAAACATATCATTTCCAAGCTAATTAAAAGATAAATGGCTCTTAAGAAATTTTTCTGGTTCTTTTAATTTAAATGCTTTTTCATCTTGTAAAAAACACTAAAGCTTTTTATACGGCTATTTATTATAGTACATTATTTAGCTCTTTGTATACATTTTTGCCATAATGATATGAAGAGCCGCTGGAGAGAGTCTAATAGAGTCACATGTTGCAGACCCCTGATCTATACCCTATGGTAAACGATCCAATTAATCAAATATCTCCATGTTTTTAAAGTGCTAACCCAAAACAGCTTATTAACCTAATGCTTTTAGAGGCTCAGCAAAATGTAAAGGTAAATTGTTTAAAAGTTATTTAAAGTCTTGGACACATCATCGTTTATTCAAATTAAATGGTCATAACATGCTGAAATGCTGGCTCATGTCACGTGACCACAATACTTTTCTGTGTTATGGCAGCCGGCAGAGAAAACCAACATGCATTTGTAGTAAATACAGTTTCCATTCTGAAACTTTTCTTCCTCCTTTGTTTCCCTGACTTTATTTTAAAAACCTCTTTGATTCTGATGATGGACTCTAGTCTTCTTCCCTTTAAGTTCCACATGGAAGAACGTTGTGCTCAGCTCAACCTGGACTGCTAGTCTGGCATAAAGTCAAACAATTCTACCAGCTGATTTTTTTCAGTGCTTTCATAAATATTATTTATCATTCTTTCTTTTTTGAACATTCTTTATTTAAGAATATAATAAATTCAACACATATACAAATGTATTTTCATGTATGCAACTACAGAGAACATCAAACCCAAAAGTAGTGGAGAAAAAAATAAAAAAATTAAATAAAATGCAATAAAATAAAATAAATTAATTAAAAAGGGATGGGGCTCAGCAAACATTTAAATCTGTTTCAGCAACTGACAGTTCTTAGAGTGGTCTTCATTAGCTCCCATAAACGGGAGGTGTATATGTACCATAAAAGAGGGGAAATACGAACAACAGGGGCTAATATCATTTTTTTTAGTAACATATGAGGCTCTTTATCTGTGTGGCCATCCAAAGTGGTCAATAACTGGGGCCCACACTTCCAAGAATATGTCCATTTTCACATGAAGTTTTGCTGTTATCTTCTCCATTTTATACACATTCTTAAACCTTTCTTGCCATTGTTGAAGGGTTGGGGGCAGAGGTTTAAGCCATGGCAGAGTTATCATTTTCCTTGCTACTAATAGCAGAATCAGTAGTAATTGGGCTTCCCTTTTCCAAATATTTTCTTTTGGGATCAAACCTAATATATAGTTCAGCGGGTTCAGTGGTAAAGTAAACTTAAGTATTTTTTTAATTTCTGTCTGGATCCCTTTCCAAAATGGAATCAATACTGGACAGTCCCAAAAAATGTAAGTGTGGTCCCCAATCTGATTACAGTTCCTCCAGCATAAATTTGAGACATTTCTGTCATATTTTAAGATACTAAAAGGAGTTTTAAAGAATCTCATTCTATTTATCATACTTGAAAACTCATTTTGTTAGTTTTATTGCTGCTATCTTTGTATATTCTACAACGGAGCGTTTTAGTAAAAATCTCATTCTTTTATGCCCTGGATCCAGCTCTTTTTAAATCTCACTGCACCTAAGCATTTGCACAGATTTAATATCCAACTAGGCGTGGAGGAACCAAGTCCCAGACCTTATCAAGCGATGCTCTTGTCAGCATCAGGATAACCTACTTTGTTTTTAAATCTCAAAACCGTAAAAAAAACAAAAAAAAAACAGAAAGTCTACTGTATGTGCGTGTAAGCAAAGCTTCTGACTGCAGGCTGCTTTCATAAATCTGACTGAAACAAAAGCCCTGAGCTGTTTCCAAAATCAACAAAGAGGATTACAGCCGGCATGGAGAGTAGAAACTCTCTTTAGGATACAAGCAGAAGTCCCTCCAGGTGTGTGGAGTAGAGGGGAAAATGTACTGGAATAATCCCCTTGGACTACAGAAGCACATTCCTTTCTTTATTGCTACCCCCACACCCCGTCATTGCAGATTCCAGGTGGATTGCAATCAGCACTTCTATGTTTTGCCCTTGGTCACAGCAAAGGTTAGTTGGGGCTTTTGAAGAGGAAACTGAGCTACTTTATTGGTCAGATCCCTCTTGAATTTGTGCATGTGAAGATAGTTTTGTAAAACGGTTTGGTGAGTTGCTCTGAGCTGGCATCAGCCTCAGCACAGCTCTGTGGTCCGAGTCACTCAGGTGGGGGTAGGTCTGTGTTAAATCCTCCACACTGAAAAAGATGCATCTGTGATCCAAGAGGGACAGAGCAAGGTTCAGAGGACAAAGGCAGGTAGTGCAGTCGCCCCATGCTGCTCAGATCTCTGATCTTTGTCATGGTTATTTCAAAGCTAAACACTTAAAGCTGGGATCCTCCCACTGGTCTAACTGGAGGGGTGAAATTGTCACCCTGACCAGGGTGAAAAGCCCAGGGTTACCATGTGTAAGTTGACAACAGCAGCAGCTGTGTAAACGCCAACAGTCAACATGAGGGTGGCAGCCTCACCTGTCCACAGCGAGCTGGAGGAGAGCTCCCAGCTGCTCAGACTGACACAGTGGGGGGAAAAAAAAAAACTTTTGTGATGACATATTAATTTCTAAGTGAATGTATTTGTTCAAGAATTAAGATATAATTTTTGTGTTTGAAAATGAAACTCCTGTTGTTTGCATCTGTGTGTTGCAGACAGCCCATGTTTACCTAACACACCTTCCTGAGTGCTCTCTGAACCGTCCCCTGAAGCAGTCCACATGTAAAGTCAACATGCGTTTGATGATGGCCTGATGTTCAGGCCTCTTCTATTGATGTTTAATGCAATCCTTTCTTTGATGCTGCTCTCTGAGACTCTTTATCTGATTCTCCACTGTCCCACCACCATCCCTCTGGAATCCTGCTTCCTTTGTACCTGCCCACATCTGCAAACCAGATGTTTGAACAGTTAACACCTGAGTGCAGTCGCTGATCCCCTTACGTGCCCCTCGCTCTAGACATAGCGATTAAAGGATCAAAACGGGTCGTCCTCTTTGCGCTATTATCTGCGTCGTTCGCCTCCTTTAGCCCTGGGCACACGCTGCTGCTTCACAGAAATACTCTGAGCCACAACCAAGCTATTATGCTTCCACATTGATGTGTGGCAAACACTGGATGTGTTGTTTAAAGTCAAGTTATCTCATCTGATACTTGTTACAAACACCAG